ATATATATATATATATCCCTAGTTGCCCGAAACCACTCCTCGGGTCCAATCTCCAAACCACAGCAAGTTTCGCACGCCGAGCATGCGAAATCAGAATTAGCCACACTGTCTCGCCGTTCAGTTCAGAATGGCGTCCCAGCAGGCTTTCGGCAAAACTATCCTGTCGGAGATTGTCGGAGATGGCCAGATAGTTGTCACCTTGGCACTCACTCGCCTGCATGCAATCAAAATAACTCTTTCCTCGAATGGCAAGGAAGGCTAGCCAGCTCTGTACATGGCTGCGAATTAACGTGGCACATCTCTGCCGAATTCGCTGATGCAGGATTCAGCACGCTGCTTCATGGCCTCAGGTCCTGTGGGCAAGAAGACATTCAAGGCAGCGTAAACCCTAAACCACCAAAACGTCCCGGACCCCGATCTTGCTGGGCCTTACTTCGCCTCTCTTGCAGCTGCACGGCGTTGAAGCAGAGTCGGCCCTGCAGGCGCGCACGGAGCTCGATTTACTAGGGCCTCTGATCTCCCTTTTCTGCCAGGACCTCGGTTCCAGTGTAAGCCTCCATGGTGCTCTTGTGACTGTGACGTATTGAAACTTGGACTTATAACCAAAATATCACGGCACCTTGCTCAACGTCGCCCACCGCCGCTGCAGGAGCACCTGACAAAGTTGGGCCAAGGAACCACATCAAGGAAAGCCAGATGGGGGTTTCCGAGAATAGGGGACCCGAATATAGTACCCGAACTAGTAGGATCCTTATAACAAGGACCAGAATATAACGTACCCCCCTATTTTCGGAAGCTCCCAGATCTTGCTTTCTTTATTGCATCTCCGGCTTCGGATTTTCCGCCATGTCTGCAGGCGGATAGGTAAGGAGCTCTGCGCCTTCGTAGGTGCCGCCGGGAACCAGGTTGCTTCCTGAAGCAGGGAGGAAGCACATCGCGCGGCCATGCCGCGAAATAACGGTTGGATGTTCAAGATTACTCATGCTGGAGAGTGAAGTGAGCTGAATTCGTGACCCTAAACCCTAAACCCTAAACCGTCACAGCAATTCCAGTGCACTCAAGACCGGTGCGGCCTTTCCATGTCAGGCTTCCGGGTCGCAGCGTCGAGCCGTATCCGGCATCGCACATCGCAACCTTTGTCGGCGCTTGACCGTCTACTATAATAAAATATATTATAATATAATATATTAGAATATCATACAATATAACATACTATAATATAATATAGTATAGTATAATATAATATCATATAATACAATCTCATATAATAATATAATTACATTATGTTCGGCAGCATGAATACGCTGACAGGTCCTGCAAGGACGGAAGTAAGTTACTCCAAGCCACACTGGCTCCGGTCATGATGGTCACCCCATTTCCAATCTTGTAGTGAGTGAACTTCAGGCGGAAGTCCTTCGAGTGGCCCGGGGGGACAGCTCCGAAGCAACAGGGCACCCTTACCGCAGCACTGACCGGCCCTAGCTTGCCGAGATACGTTCATAGCCGCTCACTGTGCTTAGCGAGCATATGATGCATATGTATTGCACGCATGGATCTGTGGCGAAAAACCGCATCAGCAACGACGCACGACACACGACAGCATGGTTCTGCACACTCATCGGTCGCTGACGGCTAACAGCATGCAGCAGCAGAAATGGTAGTATAGTAGCACCACTCTTATACAGCTGAAATGGGAAGGACGACGGGGGCGGCGCCGGCGGAGGCGGTGCTGAAAAACGAAGGCGATTCCAACGGACGCCACTACTACAGCTTGGAATGCAGTAACACCGAAACCAATTCGACCAGGAGGACGGGAGGACGACGAATATTGCATTTTCCAGGAATTATCCACTACAAGTCTCTTCCCACTCGTTTTCTGGGTGGTGCGAAATCAGAGGCAACGGCGAGCAAGGTCTTCCGGGAGCGCGCTTGTCGTCGTGAGTAGAACAGTCTAACTACAGTAGATCGACACAAGTCACGAAAAGTCGACATGCACAAAAATTAAGTGCGAAACGTCTAAGACCTTGCAAAGCAACAGGACAGCTCGCCTCAAAGAAACACGCTAAAGCATGCTCCGACCACTCGAAACTCTGCGAGGACTGTAGGACTTGCAGACGAATGGAGTTGGCAATTGGAGTTGGCGAGCAAGCCCCTGCAGTGCAGCACTCCTCGAATGAATGACACCTCACCTGTCCATCGTAGTCCACGGTCACATCGTCTCCGATTTCTGTGAAGGGTGCATCAACCAGGACGAGCTCGTTCCTCAATCTACCGTGCAGGTGGATGAGCACAGTCACTTGTGGCCATGACATCTCCAGTCCGGGTGCCCACCTGGCAACGCCTTGCTACGTTAAGTTTGGCCCGGGGTGCATGCAGAAGAACCGCTGGCCAATCTTTGCACCCAGCAGCCGCAGGATCGGGGCTTGCCAGCGGCTGCCAGCCGTCTGCCATCCAAACAGCTACGAAAAATGACAAGCTGGGAAGGCCACTGAGTGCGCCTGAAAGGGAAGCTTGAAGACTCGCTGCTGGGCCGTGAGGGCAGTGAACCAGCGCGTCACAGTGGTAGAGTAGTACGCCTAGGACAGTCGCCACGCCACCATATATCCATTTATTTATTTGCGCATGTAAATGTATTTATATGTTTGTGTAAGTTGTATACTACTTATACATCTATAACATGCATATATATATATATATATATATTTTTATATATACGACACAAAGACTCGAAAGGGGACCTGCAAGTGGTTGAAGCTGGAAGTCCAGTCTGGCCAGGGCTCGTTACTGCGCGGTGCCCTGCCGTTGAAGAGCATGTTCCCCAGCTTGACAGAGAAGATGAACCAGGAGCCCAACCTCAGGTTTAGGGTTTAGGGTTTAGGGTTTAGGATTTAGGGTTTAGGGTTCAGGGTCTGTTCTTCAAAGACGTGCCCCTAAAAGTTCAAGCTGTCTAAGATAGACCAAACATACAAGGCGAGACGTTCTCCCATTCGCTGTCTAAGCAACGAGAAGAACAAGTAGATGGCCAGGACCTCGAAGACCTGCCAAACGGAGGTGATTTCAGGCACGCTGGTCCGGCTCACCACGAAGGCAGCGCCGGTCACCATTCCTTCCAGGGGGACTGCCGACGAACGCGGAGAAAGGGAGATGGCTAGTAAATTGAATTACTATATTTCTATTGTGGAGATCGAAAAGGCCCAACTGGATGCAGTGCGGTGCCGGTTCCTTGAACCCCTCGGTAAAGGAAGACGTCCAGGACGCTGGTGCTAAAGTGGTGCCAGAAGCGCGCCAGGCAACTTGCGGGTTCTGGGCCTTGGTTTGTCTTGCCGGCAGCTTGGCTGCTCAGGCGCTTGAACTTCATCGCCGGATTCCCGAAGTAGCTGTAGTGCGGCTCGGTGGGTCTTTCAGGCAGCCAGGTGCCCACACCGCAGAAGCTGCCTTCTGGAAGGCCTTGCGGCAGGTGGTTGTGGTTGCCAAGGAAGGTGTGATCACCTTAAGCAGGCGGTGGGACGCGGTTGCTCTGCCGCCGCGACACGACTGAACGTGGCTTGCTTGCACAAAAAACGCGATCCAAGCGGCTCATATAAGTGACGCAGGGCACCTTGAACTCTCCGCGGTCCACGTCGACGCTGGTCAGGATGTTGCCGGTGGCAAAGAAGCAACGGTTGCCGACCACCAAGGTCTCCGGGAGCGTGACCTCCACCGCCGGGGGGCTTAACTGGGGGCTTGTTCGCTCCTGGCACTCCCGGCCTGGAGGCCCATGGCACAACCGTGTCCGAAAGTGGCCCCGCAGAGGCGAATGAAGGCTGGCACGATCGACGCATCGGCCAGCATTTCCGAGGCCTGCAGGCGGAGGCTGCAACGGCCGCGTTAGAGTCTCCCGGCTCCCGGCAAGCCACAGAAGATGCAGGGATCTCCTTAATCCGAGGCCTGAAGGACCATCGACATCTTGAGAGCCGCAATCTGGGCCCGAAGGCTTAACAAGGAGTAGGTGCATGGAGGCTTCACCTTTGGCAGCAATCGGCACAGCAGCGCTGTGCCGGCGAGCTGTCCGATCGTGTTGAGCATTGAGACCTCGGCTTGCAGTGATGTGTGGTCTGCATCAAAGCACGGGCCAGCTGCAAACAAGGAGCTCCAAATGCAATGAGCGGAACCCACTGGAACATGCTGAAGAGCTCCGGTGGTAGGACATCCTGTGGCTGGGCCAAGGCAAGAGAAGGCGCTGGGCTTTTGTTGCTATCCAAGAGGCTGTGTGCTCAATGTGCATCGTGCGTTCTTCAATGCGTTCAGGCGGGTTGAAGGGATAGCCACAAAGCCTCGGTGTTTCTGTGTGGTATGTGAGCACGGGACGATGCTGACTCTAGGGCAGCCAGGGTGCAGCTGCAAAAAGATTAGGCCCAGGAAGGGCATCATGGCTTTGGGAAGCAAGAGACACCAGTAGCCCATTGCCAGGGCCGATGCTTTGTTGCGGAAGCAGCGGGCCTCTTCCTTCGTCGGCAACCGGGATGCATCGGCGCCAGCCACAGGCTGTGCTGGGACGCCACAGACGCGGCCATCGACGACAACCTTGCTGTGTACGGTTGACAGCGGCTCCACATAGCCGGCCGCCGCGACCTGCTGGAGCTCAATCACCACACACTAATCATCAAATCATCATAGCACACATCTGTCACATGTGTTGTCGGAGTCGGTCTTTATAAAACTTGTTTGCTCTTGACGGCCTCACAGCCGGGCTCCAGTGTGCAATTGGGGCCCACGTATGCACCTGCGCCAACCTTCACGCGTCTCAAGACCATGCGCCGGGTGCCATAGTTCACCGCGGTCAAGTGCCTGGGCCCGTGGACGGTTGCCAGGTCCCCTACACTCACCAAGTCAAACGCCACCACCCGGGCCGTGATCACGGAGGACAGGGACACATCTGCACCAAGAGCCTTGAGGGCCAGGTTGCGCATGAACAAGAAGGCCATGCTGCTGCCCTGATGGGCACTTTGTCCTACGATCGTGCCCTTGGCGACATGTTCGACGAGCCAGTGGCGCAGGTACATCAGGCTGTAAATATCGTGATTACCCTCTTTGTAGCGGCCGATGAGCAGCCACTTCAAGAGGGCTAGGACACCGACGCGCACGAACTGCTCCACAAACAGCAAGGCCAACAAAACAAGGAAGGAGATCCACAATGGCAGGCAGAAGGCCAGGGGCAGCAGCAGCCGCTCAGCCGCGACCAAACGCACTGCCACAGCCACAGGCTGGGCCTCTCAGGTTCGCCAAAAGTACAGAAAGCCAACTTGCAGCAAGGTCTACAGTACATGGCACAGAGCACGAAGATTCGATGCTTGCAAGCAGCCAGAATCGCAGCACCCTGAACCACGGCACAGAGCACAGGCCATGAGTTCGGCCCGAAGGACTTCTCTTGCTCCTCGCTGTGACCCAGGATGTAGCCAGCCCTAAGTGGAGCTCACAGAAGTTTCTACAGCTCTGTGGCACGGCAGGGCAGTATGGAGCCGAAGCTGGAGTGTCAGACGACTGCACCACCACCCATGTTGCAAACACAATGAGGACAACAAAGCATCAGCAAGCGACCACATGCAAAAATGTAAACTTCGAGGTGTTCCGGAGGCGTTAGCGGGCACACTGTGCTCCGGTCCTATGGGGGGGAAATACAGGCTACAACAATGAATCCTGCAAGGCTCTCGCTACAGGGCAAACAACATGGTGCAACTAAGGCTGCGTCAAGGAGGACGCGGGAGAGAACGAGGACCCAAGAGGCTTCCAGCCTCTCGCCGATGCTGCGCTGATGGCCGAGATGCTTTTCCGGAGGTCGATTGCAGCCATTCTGGGCAATGCCGTGGCCCAGGCCACGCCGATGTGCAAGAGTCGTAGATGACTAGGAGCCCAGTTCAAGGACGGCCACTGCCCAGTCAGCTCCTGCCAGAGACGTCTGTGGCGTCTAGCAGTCAGTCCTCTAGAGCTTATGCTTTGGAGCAGGGGAGTCCTGCACGCAAACGGCCGACAGCTGCTGCGGCCGTGCATGGCAGTTCTCCTGAGACCAGGTGGTCGTGAGGATCTCGAGGTCTGCGGGCTCGCAGGCCAGGACGTTCGCACGAGTCACGCAAAGCTTCTGCAAGAGCTCATCGCTTGGGCTAAGTAGTGTGGCCCCAGCATGCATCGAGCTAAGGAGTGCCACAAGGCCACCCACACTGCCAGCTTGAAGGCATGAGAGCACCCTGCCAGTGTGGTCCAAATGGAGCTCCTGTCAACCGCGCAAAAGCTTGGCAGACCCGTTTGAAGGAGATAGCACACCTCAATCTCAAGGCTCCTGTTGCCATCCCAAGACCGCCTGAAGCAGCGCTGCCTCTGACGTCGGTTCTGCTCGCAGCCCGTCGCCTGGTAGCGGCTGACACTGACACAGTGTTCCTATGACGGGTCCGTGGGCATCTAGCCGTGTCAAGCCGTGTCAAGCCGTGTCAAGCCGTGTCAAGCTGCCAAGGTGCTCCCTGCAAAAGCGATGCAGCAAGCGCCGGAACCATGTCGGGACCGTCTTTGCCTCAGAGGTGCCGGTGAGGAACTTACGTCCAGCACCGTGCAGCCGACCTCGGCTTGACCAGAAGCTACTAGCACAAGGCTGCCAATGCTGCGACAAGTGTTATAGATCAATTCAGCGCTTCAAGGAATGGAAACCGACCCGGTGTGCGAATTGCAAGCCTGGCTGCTTCCGAAGCCAGCAGCCTGCAGTGGCCCTGCAGCCGCATCCACATTGCGTGGTCGGCTTTTGTCGCCAGTAGAAGGCCCGGCTTTGTCAAGCGGAGCTGCTCCGTGATGGTGCTGCCACTGCTGCGTGGGTCCATCATGCAGAATGTGCAGCCCTCTCTGAGCACAGCAAGTAAGGCTGACATCCTCTCTGGCACGTCCAAGCAGATGGACACGCATCTACCCCTCGCTCCCTCCTGCGACTTCAAACTCTGATGCAGCAGCTGCTGGTAAGAAGCGGCCAACTTGAAGAGCTGAAGGTAGGTGACGCTGCGGCAGCCAGCCTCTGCGCAGACGGCATGGGGCGTTGCCTCGAGATGAGACATGACACCCTGTAAAAGGGCACCGGAATCAGGGAGGCCATGGCCCTCTTCGTCCTCCGAGTCGGAGTCCATGCTAGACAAGGCCAGTGCGGAGGCCAGCGATCGTGCTGTAGGATGGTCGAAGAGCATCTGAAGGTCTACCTGCTGCAGCGAAGGCTGCATGCGCATCTGAGAAATCAAGCGTCCAAAGCCGCCAGAGTCCACCCCTAGGTCCTCCATGAAGTGCGAGTTGCAATCCCACCTGTCCAGATTCTGGCCCAGCTGCGGAGCCAAGCAGGCTGCAATCTCTTGCTCAAGCTTCGAGGCGCCCTCTTTCACAAAGGCATCCCAAGCATCTTTCTTCGGCCCTTCGTCGCATCCGCTCGCATCGTCCAGCGGCACGGCATTGCGCAAGAGCTTCCCGGAAGTGTTGAACTTCCAGGCATCGTTCTCCACGATCTTCGCCTCGGCTTGCACATGCTTACAATATGCTTACATGCTCGTCGACTTTTTTCGATGGCACTTCGGCTTCAGCGGATACAGCTTCTCGGGGCACCTGGCTGAGAACGTAGCCACGGCCCAGGGCAGCCGCGGTCGCTTTCAGCTCTGCCTCCGACAGCTCTGGGGCACCCGAGGCCAGCAAAACCTCCCAGTTCCAAGCAAAGCTGCTGGCAAGACACGGCTATGCATCAAGCGTGCAAGAGGCACAGCTCTGAAGTGGTGGACCTTGACAGCCTCTCTGAGCCCGCGGCCAGGCGCTGGCCGTCCAAGACCCGAGCTTCGCAGTGCTTCACATTGGGAAGCTCGGTGATGGCCTTGGCAGAGCATAGCGGAGCTAGCTGCAGAGCTACGATGTGCAAAAATCCCCTCTGAGCCTGCTCCAGGGCTTCCAACTCGATTCGGATGCCACGCACTTTGACCTGCCAGTCCACTCGCCCGTGGTAGTGAATGCAGCCGCCCGCTCCTCGCGATGCCAGGTCTCCCGTGTTGTAGACCTGGGCTGGGAGACGCTTCGATGCCGAGTTACCCCACGCCCTTCTTGTTTGTGGAGGCCGAGACACACGGCCGATGCCGGGCAGTTCAATGAACTTGAGCTTTGTCTTCTCCTCCTCCTCTAGGTAGCCTCGTGCTAAGCCAATGCCTCCCACAAAGAGGACACCACGCTCGCCCTCGGCTTTCACTTCCAGTGTCTTTGGATCCAAAATGTAGCATTGATAGGTTGGCAGCTGTGCACCGATCGTGATCACATCGCCAGTCTTCACGTAGCCACCGGTGCAGACCACAGAAATCTCCGAGGGCCCATAGCTGTTGAAGAGCTGACGTCCTGGCGCCCAGGTCTCCACGACATCTGCAGCCAGGGCTTCGCCGCCGACATCGAGGATTCGAAGGTGCGGAAGCCCGTGCAGCATCCGAGACACGTCGGCTCCTGCGAGGGAAAAGAGAAAGACAGACCTGCACGTGCCGAGGCTACGAGCGCATCGAAGCATCTCCTCCACCAGCCATGGTGCGCAAGTGGGAAGGCACCACACTCATGCCAGTGATGTGTCTCTCTTTCAACCACGCTTGCATGTCGGGACCCTTCTTGACCATGTCGGGGCATGTTACGCTCGTGGCTCTGGCGGCCATGGTCCCGTAAACCTCGATGACATGGACATCCCAGGACATCGAGGCCACCTGGGCAAAGCGATCCCTGTCGTGCAGGCCCACATACCTGCCCCAGATGCGAACGACATTCAGGGCCGACTTGTGCCGGATCATGACTGCTTTCGGCTTGCCCGTGGAGCCGCTGGTGAAGATGAGATAAGCCAACCTGCTCGTGCAGTGGAACAGGGGGGGACCAGGAGGAGGGGGGGAGGGTCGCGTCAAGAAGCCACATGGTGTGATGCCCATGGCCTGTCGTGATCTTTTGGTGAGTGGCATGGACGATGGGGGAAGGAGTTGCCAACTGCCTTTTGGAGTGCCAGATCAACATCTAGGACCATTCTCGGGAATTCGCCGAGCGCTGCTGCCACATCCATAATCCCCAAGTGCCGCAAACTGGCATCGGAAGAAATCATCACGGGAGGTTGAGCGACCTCGATCCAGGTTCGGAGCTTTTCGACCGGTTCACCAATGTCGAAGGCATTGTAGGCGCATTTCTCCAACATCACGGCATGAACCGAAGCAATGCTTTGAACGCCCCGTGGCAGGACGATGGTGACCTGAAAGGAGCGCACGCGGCACACACAAAGTCCAGCAGAGTCAAGAAGCTCAAAAACACCGTGGTGCCGTCGAGCAAGCCTAGAGGCGAGTCTAAAGCTAAGCCGCTATGTGCTCGTCGGCTCGCCGCTTGTGCGCGTCAGGAGCCTCCGAGTCTGACTCCGTCGGAAGATCCAAGGCAAGCAAGGCTTTTCGCAGGACTTTCCGGATAGCATCCGCCATCTGGGCCACCTGACTGCGGCGCTGGACAGTCTTCATTCATGCTCGAGTCAACAACCCTGTAACCCTTTCTGCCCCCAGGCCTGCATGAAGGTATAACAACCATCCTGCGTCTCCAAGCATACGCCGTCCGGCTTTTCCAGGGCCGCGGTGGTCAAGACCTCACCGAGATTCGTTTCCACTCCCGGCATGCAGCTGTATCCATCGACGTCTGTGGTGAGAGCCAATTCCTCAAGAGTCGGCGCCATGTCCTCGAAAGCCATCAGTCTCAGCTGCAAAAATCTCTACACTCTACACGCCAGCGAGGCTGTTCAGTTCGGGAGAACGCGAAAGCGCTTGATGGAAATGGCTACCGGAGAGCACCTAAACTGGTCCTGCCAAGAACAAACTCCAACATGTGCTAACTGCATGGAACTATCATGGAACGTGAGTTGTGGGGCCATGTTCTCCACAGCAAAGCCACGGCTTGCAGTTGGCGATACCAGTACCGTGAAATGCGTCCGTTGCTTTTCGACAGACAGGGGAGACATTGCAGCCCCGTAGCACTCCCTGTTCTCTACAGATACCCGTAGAGATGTTAAACAATGAAGCCCGGGCAGCAGGCAAGCTCCTGTTGTTCAGAACTCGCCCAATTCGGCCTCACACATGTCAGAGCCTGCAAAGATGGTGTCCGACATGTTCACTTCTCAGCCGGGGGCAGTTGGCCAGCGCGGCCAGCACCAAAACGTCCAGCAGTTGTTGAAGCAACCGAGGTCCCAACGGTTCCTTCACATGGCACACGGCAGAAGCAGCAGCTTGAACCTGATGCGAGCAAAAGCCGGCTCCTGGACTTGTCGTAGATGAAAGCCTGTGCATCGTAGAGCTGATTGTACCTGACAGCGCTGGAGCTCTGCAACGGAGACATGGCGGTTGTGTGAGGTTGAACTTTCGGGCACTCTTCAACATCCAGCTCCTGGACGGGAATACAGTCGCCCTGGGACGTGTTGTTTGCCTTCGCGATGTCTCTTTGCAACTCACCGAACACAGCCTGACGACACCACTTGATGCATGAGCTCCGAGCCACGTAGTTATCGTGGTGTCTCCACTCTGCGGCCAGTTCATTCCTGCTGCAAGTTCGTCGTCTACCCGGTACAGCCGATACCCAGTCTTGTACATTCTTGCTTTCGGCGAATCACAGATTGTGTGACCCACGGTCCTGGAAACGAGGCCGATGTGGATGCGGAAAATCGGCCTGAACGGCTAAAAGGCTAAGCTGCTCGTCTTGCGATGCGCGTGAAGCTCTCACTGCACTGAGGTTCAGGACACTTCGATGGCCAGGAGGCCCACCGAGAATGCAAGGTGCGATCTCGGACGATGCAGAAATCCCCCGCTTACATGTGCAGCTGCTCAATGACGTGCTAACATGCCCAACGGGACAGTCAAGGCAGGAGCACGACCGCTATCTCCTCTTCCCACATGCCCTGTCCAAGACAGGCAAGCAAGTAAAGTATGCAGAAACAATCACAGACAGCTCAAGCATGCCGAAGCCTTCTGTGCTAGGAGCAACGCAAGACTGCCGTCCAGGACGATGCCAAACCTCAAAATTTGCGCCGTCATCAAGCACACGAAAGCCCAAAGAACAATTCAGAGCCAACACGCACCGCGTCCGCTGAACAGCTGATAAGCTGAGGCAGTGGCAGCCCAGTCATGCACAGGCCTGAGAAGGGATCGCAGTCAGCAACGACGATCCCGTTTGACGAAAAACCAGGAATTGCATGAAATGGCCGTCGAAACTGTACCTTTTTTCTGACACACTGCTGACTCCTGCAAAGGATAGGGTGAGCGCGGAACGAGCCAACAAGCGAGTCAGCAGCTAGTGCACTAGCATCGGCATGACCCCGTTGGAATTCCTTCATCTTGGATCCCGGCAAACAAGCAGCACAACGAACTCCCTGTGATTCAGGAGACCTCTAGGCAAGTTTGCAAGCCAGCACTATCAGATCACTTCAGCACAAGTAGGCGGGCAGGGCTCTCGACAAGTCTGAGAATTGTGCCGATGACGTTATGCACCCATTTGCCTCACTTCGCATCGCACAACAGCCGCAAGGCTGGATCACGGCGACCCACCATTCCTATCACCAGCTGCTCAGGCCGCAGCAATAATGGTCATATCGTCGGATCTTTCGACCGTACTGCCAGGACCTGGGAAGCAGAACGAAAAACCGACTGCCCAACAGTCCAAAGCCTACAGTACCACCCCGGTGCCGGACTCATGAGCCCGGAAAGGGCGCTCACCCTGCTCCGGCATTTTCAAGCGCTCTTGCTAGCTCCGGAGTTCCGACACTGCCCCAGACCTGCTCCAGGTCAATCCCGTCGAGGGGGACATTCCTCGTCTTCTTCAGTTGCCCAGGGTCCGCCAAGGAGCAGTACCTGGAATGCAAAGTTGCGAGACGCGCACCAAAGAAAGCAACTAAAACCAAACAGGCTCGAGCTACCCCATCAAAACCACGGTGACTGCAGCGAGCCCAACATCCAGGGTTGTCAGCGGAGCCTCGCCAGCGTAAACCACATCGGTGTCAACACAATGCACAGCTTGCGATGAGATCCTGCCTCGGCCTGGGACCACTTCTGCAAACGGCAGAACAGTGGAATCTGGACGAGTGCAGTGCAAAGTGCCCCCACCACCTGAACCACAGGTCCAGTGGTCCGCAGCGGAATCAGAACTTGCCGCTGCCCCTCTTCTGAGTTGAGGGCCACAGACGTGAAAAGAGCCTGCAATTCAGCACAGTGCAACAAAGCCAACTTCGCCGCAAAACACGCCGGGACGGCAAAAGGCAGAGCCGGCTTCAGGTCGCAACCAGCATAGACGTATTCGCCCCGCCTCGCTGAATAGTGGTCGTCTGGCCCAGCACCGTCTGATGTCACGCACGCTGCTGGCGTTGAGGCCGCAACGCTTCTTCTACATCCGGCTCCTGGCCCACAGACACAACACGTTCCGCAAGAATGCGCCTCGAAGCGACAACAGGCCGGGGCGGCAGACTGCACCACAGAGGAGTCCCCCTGTGACGTCGGCGATGTTGGAGCCAACAGCATCCTCGGGCGAGCTGGTTTGCTAGCCGCACCGGTCCACTCAAATGTGGGCGAGGCTCGTGGCAGGGAGGTCGGCACCCAATACGACAAATTTGAGCCAAGACTGCAGATGGAAGCATGGAGCACTGGACTTCGTTTGCTGGCAGATTTTCCCCTTCACAATTTCCCAGAACCCCTTTAGACCCGAGACCCTGGCCCTGAGCACAAGAACAACTGGGTTCTTGTTAAGGGATTTGATTTAAGTTACCATGATCAGGAAACCAGATTATTTACTATAGATCCCTATTATGGTAACTTAAATTAAACCCCTTAACAAGAGCCCTGAGGACAAGAAACGTCCGTCCTGACCAACCGCCTCACCGGGCAGCCCGATGAGTTTCGGGCAGCCACAGCAATTCTGACCTGTCGCTGAAATCTTAGGGTTTAGGGTTTGGGGGTTTAGCGTTTAGGGGTTTAGGGTTTACGG